TTATTAACCGCCCAAGCCGCGGTTCATGGGTGGAACGCAGTCGAACCTTCTCCATGGAGGTGCGGGGGCCACGGCCGCCATTTCTGTCCAGCTTCGACATGGTTGATGTCCTGCCTCATTCCGGCGGTCGTCCAGGTCGTAGTCCACAGCTTCCGTATGAGCATCCGGTCTTCACATTATCTCCAGACGCTCTGTCGGGAAGGAGTGACGTTGACAGACGAACTCCGATGCAGGATGATGAGTCGGAGGGTATTCGCTGAGTGCCCGTCAGCGCCAGATTTGCAAACCCATTTCCTTTCCTTGAGCATTATTTATTAAAAGCGCCACCTTAACCATACCTCTGCAATAGTTTGCGCAGCCTCTCTCCCTCACTGGTTTATGACTGAATTACAGTCCTTCCTCCCCCCTCCCCATCTGGCAGCGGAGCTAGAAGAGCTCCTTTTTATACTTATTCCTTGTTCTTGAGCTTCGGATTTTCCTCTCGTTGGCTCATTTAAGCCGCTTGTCTGGTTTTGTAATGAGTTCCTGTTGCCATCCTCTTCTTATATACATGCTAACTGTTTTTTGCGTCAGAATAACGCTACTGCGCCTTATTAAGTAGTTTTTCTAATCTATACTCATTTTTGCCGCGGTTGACCGTCGACGGTTTTTGTTAACCCGGGGAGAACTGGGAGTCAGAAATAAGATTCATCGTTCAAGTTATTTCCCTACTGTTCCCAATGTCTGCTAGAAGGTTTGTCTAACGTGAAAATTTTCAGGACTACTTAATGAAATGGGTTTGGACGAGCACGGTTCTGATAGACGCCCTTCGAATGAACTTGGCAGTTTGTAGAAAGTGGGGAATAAAACCCTGTCTGACGAGTAATCGAATCCAGCGAATGTTCAACCATCCTAGCTCCAATCTGACCAACCTTTTCTGACCGCAGATGCGCATTGCCCACGCGGTGTAAAGCTGTAATAAGTCCACCGACCTCGCCAACCTCATTCACAGTACCGCCACGTATCATTTACACTGTTAAAACCGAGCCCGAAACTTAACTGAACCTGGCATTCAGGACTTTCGTTCATGCAGGACTTGGCTTACACCCCACTCCGTGCGATGGTTTACAGCGTCCAGTATCTTGTCGCGTCATTCATAAAGTCCTTCCGCTCGCAAGACCGCCGACAAGCCTACAAGAAACAGGTAATCGCAGGTGTCTCATCAACGATCCAAGCTAGAAAATCAGTTGATCCCAAATGTGTTTAAGTTTGGACAGTCAGTCTACACTGCCGCAGACGCACCCCGATAGTTCAGCGGAGTCTACCACTGCGACACAAGGTCGGCGCAGTGGGGACTTGCCCGTGAATTTGTTCACAGTGAAGCGAACTTTCAATGTGCCTACCTCATGCCCTCTTCCCACACCCGTTGCATTCTGGTGATGAGGAAGGAAAGTCAAGGGGATCGGGGATGCAGATGGTCGTGCTGGCTGACAAAGCTAGACCCCGTCTACGCGTGCGACTCGTGACTTGACCCCTAGATCCGCGCGTGCCAGACTCGGTTCAGGGGCTGTCGAGCAGTTCACACAAGGGCCATATTGGGAGAGCCACTGCAGAATGACCCTCAGTCAGGTAGAGGACCGAGTTGCCCACCACCTGGCAGCATTCCGAACCGCGACCGTCAACAATTCGTGATGGTTTTGAGGCTGATCTGTTTGTTTATAGTGGGGAACTGAGTCCTGGATCGACTCCCCTCTCCCTCTACTTTCCTTCATATCTCAGTGGCCTTTCGGAGTCAGGCTGATTAGGAAAAAGAATTGGGCATGGTGGCCGATGCGACGCGGCGTTACCGTCTAACGCCTGCTACACACAGGAGCTCAGATTTCACAGGAGTAAGAGGTGCCGCGAAAGTGACCTGTAGGGATGAGCCTTTGCCATCTAACACTCCGACGGAGGACTAAATTATCCTGTCAGCCGGCAGCCTTTTAAGGCATGGATGTTAGATGTTCAAACGCGTCAGACCTACTGTCGCGAGGTATGCGTTAGTTTGCATGGAAAACGAATGATTCAGAATCGGTCTCACACTCCCATCCCCTTCAATGTGGCAGAGACCTCTCCGAGGCTGTTCGAGATGAGATTGAGCGCGGTGATTGACTTTGCGCGGGATCCTTCGTTCAATGTGTGCTATACGCATACGGATTCTCCACCTCACATGGCCGAGATTTGCACATGCTCTCCGTAGCACTCTGCCAGCTTGCATTACGTACTTGTTGTCTAGTCGGTACGCCACTCTCTTCTGTTGGTTGTCGTTTTCATGCGTGTGATCGTGTAGGCCCACGCATAGTCTACGTGAGCTCGTATCTGCCCGTGCAGTGAGGTGGTGTTGGGACAGCCTAGGCTGTCACATACGACCGACAAGGTCCTTAAAGGGGTCCGAATGTCCTGGGGGCACTTGGCGCACGGAAAGCGTGCGTAGTAAAGTTGTCGCGAGACCCCAGGCTCTGATTATCTTGTTGAGTCGCAGTGGACTTGCAGGTGACCAACTAAGCCGATGCGCGGTTGGGATGTGCGATGCAGTAGGACAGGCTGGCACTGCGTCCATACGGCAGACAGTGGGCGATGAGTGTCCTTCGTATCTTGGCAACGCTGGAAGTGTCCAGGACATCCAATCGCGACCTTGAACGTCAGGCGGCGGTAGTGACAAATTATCCAGGAGCTGGGCCGACGACGATGTAGCCCAATGGTTTCAAAGCCTCATCCTTTCTTCCTGTCCGTGGCGCACCTCAAAAATCGCTGATCTAAATGTTATCGGGTGTTTTAAGCCTGCTGATCCCCTGCTAGACCTTCTGAGGTTGTGGTTTGTCGTCGTTTTGCCTGCCTAACTGCGAGCACACGCGGCGATTCGCTATTACTTTAGCTACTTGGGCAGGCATGCGTCAGCCATACTCGCGAAGTGGCAGTCGCAATCGTACTGTACGTGGGCGTGCTGAACTCGACCTTTTTTTCTTTCGCAAAATCAGATACCGAGAAGGTTTTCCTCCGACTTCACCTTCGGTGACCAATGGGAGGAGTTCGGGTGAAGGTTGTTCAATTTGTTTATCTAGCAAGCTGCTACCCTTTTGCCGTTCACAGTTATTGCGCGTCGGTGTTATTTACGTTTACAGCGAACACACCCGGATGCGCCGAGCCTACAGTCTGGTCGACTGCAGCACACACACACACACACACACACACACACACGTGTGCTTCCAGAGATGAGCAGACGTCCTTGTTTCATCCAGCGATAAATACCACTCGGGCGCGGAAGATTGCACTCATCACACACAAGCCCCCAAAAGCGCAATTTGACAGTTTGACCGATGCAAGCTACAATGCAGCACTGGTGACCTGCACCCTAATTAGTTTATATTGAGGCAGACTTGCACCGCAGCTACCGCGCTCTCTCCTCCCGCCGGCACATTGTTCCGCCAAGACGACCTGAGGTGACCTCGGACTTAATGGATGACAAAAACTAAATAGTCAATCTACTTATGCCGCACAAAACCTGTTCCCAACTTAATGCACCATGATATGCCAAAGGACATGCGTTCCACCTAGGCGGGACGCGCACGCTCCAACATTAGACGTTTCGTCCGCTATATAGGCTATGAGCAAGTAGTCGCGTGGGTGGCTTCTGTATGCTTATTGTGGGACGGTTCCACATTTAGCCTATAGATGTGTATGTGTGCACCCCAAACGGGCCACGTGGTAGATGCACTGGACCAACACGAGGGCCATATCGGGCTCTGGCAGGCGTTATTGGGAATGCGCACGACAACAAATGCCAACATTTCGGGGTGCTGTGGCAGACGTCGCGCACACTGGGACCCATGCGGTCCTCCCCATTGTTGCTGTTGGTTAAGATCCTGGTTATTTGCTGTGTGGACCAGAGCGTGTGAAGCGAAGCGCCAAGGTGTGGACTCGGCCGTGCCATCCGCCGGCGCCCTCCCCCACCTCCGGTCTTTTTCACTCTGTCTTGACATCGAGTCCAAGTGGGGAGTGGGGAAGAGTGAGTGCGGTAGATGCGGCGCAAGTCTACATTCGCTATAAACTAGTTCACGCACAAGTCACCGTGCCTGCTTTCAGCTTGCTGTGAAGCACACGGTGGGCATCGTCGAAAACGACGGTCGAACTAGCGGAAGGGGACATGCGAGGAAACATGAATCTCTTCTTCTTCTTCTTTGCCGTCGCTGCCGCCTGCGTCTTCGCGCCTACCCTCTTTAGTCTTATTTTCTCTGTCATGCTGATGGACGTCTACCATGGCAAACGCCACGGGACCCGCATCACCTACAGGACGGACGGTCACCTCCTGAATCAGTGGCTAATGCACTTCCAGTCGCGCGTATCCACAACCATTGCTCACGAACTTCTCTTCACCGACGACTGCGCTCTCAAGGCCACCTCGGAAGGGGACATGAAAAGGAGCATGGACCTCTTCACTGCTGCCTACGACAAGTTCGGCCTGGTCATCAACATGGAGGAAACAGTGGCCATGCATCCATTGTCATCCGACGCTACCTATGTCGCACCCCAAACCAACGTAAACGGCGCTCAACTGCAAGTAGTAGACAACTTCACCTGCCTGGACAGCGTCCTCTCCCGCTGTCCAGAATCCTGCCGGATCCCCGAAGCCAGCCAAGCCTTCGGCCGTCTGCTAAACACAGTCTGAAATCGCCACGGTCTTCAACTCAGCACCATACTGAAGATGTACGAGGCCTTCATCATCCCGACGCTGTTATATGGAGCGGAGACCTTGATAGTGTACAAGAAGCGGGCGCGGAGACTCAATCACTTCCGACTCAGCTGTCTTCGATAGATACTGAAGTTGAAATGGCAGGACCGGATCGCAGACGGGAAGCTTCAGCATCTTAGACGACTGCAAGTGCTGTAACTGCGTTGGAGCGGCAATCTCGTGCGGATGGACGTCGAACGACTATCCAAACTACTCTTCTATGGAGATGCCGCCACGGGTTCTCGCTGACAGGAAGGCCAAATCCATCGTCATGAGGACATTCTGAAAACTTCCCTCAGGCGTCCGCAGATCAACCGAGCCAACTTGAAGACCTCGCCCGAGATCGGCTGACCTGGAGGGCGACAACGAAAACAGGCGCGACGATCTATGAAACCAACCGCTTCACCGCCGCTAAAGCCAAACGCAAGGCCCGCAAATCCACGCTGCCAGCGGACGTTCCGTGCTCCAATCGGCCTTTTAGGACATCTTCGTACCAACTGCAGCACCCAGACTACACCAGCTGCTGTCTCCTCGTCCAGCTCTGCCGACAGCCAGCATTGGCCGCGCTCCCGAACCCCCATTACCATTCTCCTCCTCCTCCTCCTCTCTCTCTCCTCCTCCTCCTCCTCCTCCTCCCTTGCCTTAGCATCCACCACTGCGGCTCCTGTACCACCAACAAGCATCAACTCTTCCCCAGTAACAATCCCCGCGACGTGGACTCTATCCATACCTGTCCTCATTACGACCGCACCTTTACCTCACAAATCGGCCTGGTCAGTCACTTGTGAATCCTTCGCACGGAGGCTGACGAACCAGTGCCTGAAGCACCGAACTACACTCGCCGCATCCGCCTCCATTGTCCACACTGTTCCCGCACATTCAATCACCGCATGGGCCTTCCAGGGCGCATGCGTATTCACGAAAACCTGCGGTTAACAACTGCCGGCTATAGCACACTATCACACCGCTCCCCACCACCTGCACCACACAAAAGTGTCACCCATTCTGCGTCTCGGCTCCGTCTCCATGCGGCCCTTCTGTTGTTGTCTGAGATTATCACGACACGTCAACAGCCGTGGCTTGGAAGGCTGCCGACTGATGCCTCAACTCAGTCCACGCAGTCAGCCCACTTATGTGTGTGTTGTGTGGAGTGACGGACTGGTGGGCTGAGAGCCAGGCTGAAGCGGGTCCTTCTTAACGTGACCTATGGCACTCTCATGCATGTTAGATGCATGCCGCCAACCCCCGGTTGTGTGAAATCCTCCTGCTCGGAGGGCCAGGTCGTGCATGTGGCGCGCGCAGACGAGGTCACTAGACTATGTCAGCCACCGCGCTCATTCCCCGCACCAGTCAACTGACCGGTTGGGACAGTGGCTGAGGCATGTGAATGGGAAGGGAGGGTGAGGCCGACGACTCAGAGCACTCTCCTAACCACAAACGATCTGACGCTTTTGAAGCTACCACGGTGCACTAAAAGCCGTGGCTTGGAAGTTTGCCGACTGATGCTTGTGTGGAGTGGCCGACTGATGTCCCAAGAGTCAGGCTGCAATGGCTCCTACTTAATGCGGCCTCTATGGCATCTCCACTATGTGTGATCCGAACCAGGTGGGACGTCACGCCTGGGTACGACTTCGGCCGCGCCAGCTCCTTTTGTTGCTGTTGGTTAAAATCCTGTTCATTTATTGTTTGAACCAGGGGGTGGGAAATAGAACGCTTAGGTGCAGGTTTTTGCCATCCCAGCTACCTGCGCCCTCTCCCGCCTCTGGTTTTCTTGACTCTGATTTAACATGGGACTCAGGTGGGGGAGGATAGAGTGCGGTAGATGCTGCGCAAGTCCACTATTACCATAAGCTAATTCACGCGCGAGTCACCGTCCCTGCTCCTCGCTGCTGTGGGGCACACGGCGGACATCGTCGAACTCGACGGTTGAACTATCGTGTTGATAGGTTGTTCGAGCTGTGCTAATGGGGTATGGACTAGTTTTTTTAACGGAGATTTTGACGGTGGAGCACTTGGACGGGAGAAATAAATGTCCTGGGGCAGTGTTGGCAGGGGAGGCTGGGGTGACGTGTGCATTTTGCGGCTCCTGGCACTGATCGCCGGTCTCAGTACAATTGGTAGGCATGTGACCGACGGGGACGATTCATGATGAAAGGATGCTTTCGAAGTGGGGTCAGGTTGTTATTGGGTCTAAGTTGCGGGTAGTAGATGTAGTAGTGGTGATGTCTTACCAGATGGTAGGAGCGTCCTCACTGGTTATGGTAGTGGTATTCATGATGTGACGTGAGATGCGAGGCATACTGACGCGCACTTGATCCGCAGTTGTCCAGCCAGGTCGATCCATGTCCGGCATAAACTAACACTACCACCACACGCACTGGCTGGCATCTTTGATGACAGCCGCTGTTTCAGACAGAACAGAATAAATCTTTCATTCTGGTGTCTTCCAACCTCTCCGATTAGCCGTAAATTAGCTTGATGTGAATGGTGGTTGAGGCATTCCCAACGCAGTTCCGCCCCATAGAGGGGCAGGCTGGACACGGACATATTGGCCAACCGTACGACAAGTGGTTTTGCGCTAAATTCCAGGAGGACCAACTCCCGTGTCCCTCATTCCCTAACCTTCCTAGTCCTAACCCCCACCCTGGAATTTGGCGCGAGATCCACTGTACTATGCGGGAGGGATCGGTCCGAATTCCCCCTGCCCACCGAGTTGCGTTCTCTGGAGCATAGCTCCTCACAGGCTCCGACTGTAAAGGTTTGACTGGCTTCGGATATCTGGACTGTGACTTCGTCGCCGGTATCGATGTTTCCAGAGAACAGGAAGTTGAGGTGGATTGGGCGAACACGCAGCCCTACCTCGTCGACACTTCGACAGACGATGCCCCCCACGTGACCCGCGTGTGAACTAGTTTATGGTAATGACAGGCTTTCGCAGTATCTGTCGCATCCTCTCTTCCCTTGCCCTCCTAGGTCCGATGGCAGGACCGATTCAGTACGACGGGAGGCGAGATCTGGAGCAGGTGAGGGACAAAGTTAGGCAGACGGTCGACGCGTGTCACATGACGACGGTTAGACTGTCGATTTCAAAGATGTCTGCCGTGTGCTCCACTAAAGGATGAGTTACGCGTGAGTTGGGTGACGGCAGGCTTGCACAGCATCCACCGCACTCTCTCCTCCTCCCCTCACCTGCCAAGAGGACCGGAGGTGGGAGAAGCCGCAGGTCGACGAAAACCCGCACCCAGGCGGGAATTCCAGTTGGCGCGGCGTGAGTCCGCAGCTGGGCCTGCCACTGCATCCCGAATATTTGCATCTATTATGGGTGCGCATTCCCTATAAAGCATGCCAGAATCCGATGTGAATTTCGTGTTGGTCCAACGCGCCT